CAGCTGGTCCCGGGTCCTGGGCAGGGGAACAAGAGAGAGATGGGGAAATGCAGAGGCAACTGGCGCGCAGAAAGGGCAGGGAGAGGAACGAGCCTCCGCGTGTTTGGGGGGCAGGGGAGACACCTGCGGTGCTGGTGGTGTGTGTGAGTGCCTGAGCCAAGGGCTTCCGTCCGTCCTGGGGACTTCCAGGGAGAAGTGAGAGACTCTGCCACGGCTTCCGGCAGCCAGGGCCACCCACCACCCCAAGCAGCGGAAGAAGCAAGGCTCTAAGCTCCCTCTCCCCAGGCCTCTGGTTTCCTGGGCAGGCCAGAGGGAAGCAGGGTTGGACTGGCCGCCACCCAGCCCCCAGGGCCCGCCCAGCTGTGTTGTTCGTTTGGTTGCGTTGCCCTGGAGACGGGAAGCCAGGCCCACCCCCACCCACGGGAACTTTTCCCAGGGTGTGAGTCATTGGAGCACAGTCATCCAGGCCCTGGTGGGCAAACCCCGGTCCCCTCACCCCCGAGTCCTCCTGCCTCTTACCTGAGTGGGGTCTCGAGCCCCTCCTTTGAGCTGCGTAAGCTAATAGGTGTCACCTCGGGGCGGGAGCCCCGGCGCTCAGCCCCTGGAGCTGGGCTACCAGCTCGGGGACTGGGGGTAGGTGACACCCGCTGTGGGGAGAAGGTGCCAGCCCTCAGCTGGGGCGGGCGGTGGGCTGCAGGGACAGAGGACAGGCAACGTGTGAGGGCTGGAGCCACAGAGGTGCCCGCCCGCCCACCTGCCCCCACAGTGGGCACTGACCGGTGGAGGAGCAGCGGCAGGGGTCATGCTTGTCCAGGTAGTGCTCCAGCGTGTCCCAGCCACCGCCCACACGCACCATCACGTGGCTCCTAAGCACCTGTGGGAGCCCGGCGTGGGCAGGTCACGGCCTGACCCCCACCTCCCGGGCTGCCGCCTGTTCAGGTAGCCCCTCACTCTCACCCGCACAAAGATGAGCAGGCTGGAGTCTCCCACGCGGTACTTCCCCTCTGAGACTTTGATCATGGGAAACTGGTCTGGGCAGGTGCAGTGGCCCAAGATCTCCCTCACCTGAGGCCAGAGAGGAGAGGCTGGTGGTCAGGGGTCAAGTCCATCCTGGGGCCTGATGTCAGCAACTCCAGGGACAGGAGGAGGTTAAGTCCTTCTGGGAAACAGGGGCATGGACTGTGTTGCCCCAGACTTGAGTGCAGCCTCTGCACTTGGCCTTTCACCAGCTCTCCTTCCCCATTGGCTACCAGGGGTTAGAGAGCTAGCCAGGATAAGACAGAGGGGCTGTGGTCAGGCCAGGGACCCCAACAAGGCACATCCTTGAAGTCCCTGTGCCCATCCTCACTCCCCCTTCACCCACTTCAGAGACATGAATGTTGAGGCCCACAAGAAGGCCAGGTTCAGGGAGGAGGCAGGTGACAGGCCACGAGCGCAGGGGACCCCCACCACAAGACGGGAGTGCCATAGACTCATGGGGCACATGCACACACCGACATGCACACCAGGCCCCTCGCCCGGCGAGCACACATCTGCCCACATGCTCCCCACCCGGGGAGCTGCCAGGATGGCTATGTGGGCGGCCCTGACCGCCTCCTCGCCCACAGCGGAGCCGCCTGAGAAAATGAGCAGGTGGAGCCTCGGATGACCCTGGCCCAGGATGAGGTGGGGTGGCAGCCTCTGCCCACAGCCATCCGGCTACCCACCTCCAGGACATGCACAGCATGTCCTAACCTTCTGATAAGAAGGAAACTCTTGGCCCAGCTGTGGGGGTGTCAGGGACATCCAGGTCCCAGGAAGAGGAGGAGGGAGCTGAGGGCATGGTCTGGCACCTCCTATGCTCAGAGTAGAACTAATCCTGCAGCTCCTAATAGGACTTCCACTCCCAGTAGCAGAAGCCAGGCTGGGCTTGGCTTCCCAGATAAGTGATGTGCAGCAGGGTCATGGGGAGTGGGAGTCCCTGGGAGCCTCCCTCAGCACTCACTCAGTGCCTACTGTGTGCCAGGTGCCTTACGCAGGACCAAACCACATGGGCACCCATTCAACCTCAAGCTCAGTGATGAAGATGCAACTGTCTAGCAGCTGAGTGTAGGGAGGGCATACAGGAGGGGCTCAAATCATGCAGCCCCCTGGATGAAGGTGCACCCAGCACTTATCTGGTGCATAGTTAGCACATGAAGGAAGCAGGAGATCATGCAGTGGAGCTGAGTTTTCTACCAGGCAGGGCCTCACCCAGCATCTCTCCCTCTCTGGGCCTGCTCATCTCCTTGGGGCCAGGTATATACACTTGGTGCTTAACACATGCACCCTTCCCATGGGGCAAGCTGTCCTGCAGATGCGCGGGTGGGCCCTGGGAGGTTGTGGGCACCAGCTCTGCGGTTTGGCCCCGAGCACACAATGCTGGGTACTCAAGCCGGGCACCTGCCCTGAATCCGGGGACTCACCAACTCGTCGAGGTTGCGCAGGTCGCTGGGTGTCATGCGGGGCCCCCGTGCAGGAGCCCCAGGGGTGGCAGAGGTCTCGGCGGTGTCCTCCCCAGCAGTGGGGGTGTTAGGGACCGGGGGTGCGGCACGGAGCTCCTGCTCAATCTCCTGTTCGAACTGCACGAGCCGAGGGGCCAGCAGGCCGAGGCGGGCTCCACGCCGCGCCACCTCCAGCAGACACAGCACCACGCTTTTCTCATTCTTTCGTAGCACTAGGTCCTCAGTCTCAAACATGAGCACTTCGGGCACACCCAGCTCCGCTCGGCACCAGCCGATGAAGGTGGCCACGTTGTCTCGGGCCATGAAGGAGCCAGGCACCACACTGTGTGCCTGGAAGGCCACCCCACGGGCCGGGCGGGCAGCGGCCATTGTGCGGGCGGCCTCGGTGACAGCGTTGGCATGCTGGCACAGGGTGGTGCCTGTGGCCAGCCCCGTCAGGAAGCCATCGCCACCATTGGGCAGACCCAGGCCGTACAAGGCGTTGAGCCACTCGGCCAGGTCCTCCTTCATGGCCTCCACGTAGGCCTCACTCGAGCGGAATGGCCGCACACTCTTGGCCGCCGAGCCCGCGATGCCCGCCACTGGGTCCGCCATGCCCGGGCCAGCCGAGTCACTGTGGGCAGGGATGCTGGTCAGGACTGCTGTGATGACCGAGCAAGCGCTCAGTACAGACTAAGCCGCAGAACACGCCAACCCATCAGTCATTTCAGACCAAATGCCTGGGTTTGAGCCCTGGCTATGATACACTTCTCGCCTCAGTTTTCCCATCTGTGAAGTGGGTACAACAACATTCCATTTCTCAGAGGAACTAATGGATAATTTTTATAAATGATTTAGTGTCCTCAAGTGTTTGCTGTTTGGTTCTTCTGTGTGGGGCGGGGGTGTGGGGGCAGACTGGGGGACTTGGCTGAGTCCTCCGGCCAGGGCAGAGAGGCACCCATCCTTACTGCCCTGAGTGACAGATGAAGAGCTGAGCCCTAGACAGATGAAGCCCACAGCCCTGGACTCACAGTAGGAACCCTGGTCGCGACCTAAGAGGGATTAGTTCCACTGCTCAGGGCTGGTGGATCCCACTTCCTCCGGAAAGAGCCTAGGTCCACCCTCAGCCCCCTTTCCCTAAGGATTGTGTCATTATAACAACGACATAACGGCAGCAATAGTAAAGTAATCACAATGACTATAGTCAGCTTTGAGTGCGCAGTGATATTATCGCCGTTTCACAGATGAGGAAACTGAGGAGCAGAGCTTGCTCAAGGTCGCAGAGGAGTGGGTAGCGGAGCCCAGGCGGACCGGCACCTCATCGCTGATCCGGAGCGTTATTTGGCGGCCAGTTTCGCCTGGGCCAGGCCCCGCCTCCTCCGAGGAGCCTCCCTGGCGCCCCAGGCTGGTGAGTGTGGGCCGGAACTCAGAACAGCCTTTGCCAGCCTTGTGCCCTCTGGGCTTCAGCCCAGAGAGGGTGCGGGGCTGCCCAAGGTCACACAGCCCTGGGAACAGAGGCCGTGGCTGCCGCCACCAGGTCCCCATGAGTGTGCGGTGGGTAGGGGGTGTTGGGGGTCCCCGCGCTCACCTGGCTCATCCCGCGGCCTCGGGGAGCATCGCCCCGGCCGGGCCGGAGCCAGGCCGGGCTGCCGCAGGAGGCGCCTCCCGAGTCACAGCCGATCCCGGGT